TTTTGGTCCCACGAAAGGAACGTTGAAACGTGGACGGGTTGGCAGGCCCTCCGCAGAATTGATGGCGGATTGCTCGAAATGGAAATGCCTGGGTACAAACCTTCTCTGATCATGTTGTACCTGCCTTTGCATGGGAAGTGTAATCCGATGTCGGGAACGGCAATCTGATGGACTCTTAATGGTTGAATCTCCGCACTGAAGTCTGATTCCATGACATCCTTCAATGGTAGAACCATGAACTCCTTTCTCCACACAAAATTGGACTGAACGGCATATCCCAAGAATATCCCTGGGTTTGACGTTGGCTCGAACCTGAGAGAGGATTTGGCTTTGTTCTTGGGGCCGATCCAGTAATCAATCCTCAACCCAAAAGGAACCAAAGGGCCTGTGAACTTCTCACCGAATCGAAGCGACCAAGGCGAACTACCCTCCCGGGTGTCGACGATGTTGTTTGCCATGCGTGCATGCCTGGCAGCGTGAGCCCAATATTGGTGGTGTAGGCCAGCTTGCTCTAGGTTTACCCTTGTTCCATCGATGACAGACCGAATCGATCTTTCAGCCATAGCGTTAGTCTTGGAGACGTATGCAAAGCTGGTTTGATGCCTCCATCCTAGCCTTTCGGCAGTCGCGATGAGTTCTGGTGAATTGTCGGAATAAAATACTCCTACATCATCAGTCGAACGGACAAAATGCTTGAAGGCTGCTATGCACTCACGCGTTGATCGACGTGCGGCCGGATAGACATATCTGAAATCTGTTGCTACGTCTTTCACGACCAATGCGACGCGAGCCCCATCGATGTCCATTTCCTCATCGTCACGAATAACAAGATGGTCAGCAGTCTCTTGTTGTCCGAAATGATCCGCCTCTACCTGGGTTGAACCACCCTTGCTATACGATGGACGTTTGGTCATCTTTGCTCTCGAGCATGCTTGACAAAAGGGGTTCTTTGGGGTATGAGTCAACAGATGCTGAACTGACTGTGCTTCTTCCTTAAGGGCTCTCTCTCCCCTATCCCTCTTCGGGTCCAACGGTTTTTCCACCAACCTTTCATCCATTGGCTCGGGATCATCTTCCACAGGATCTTCGCCGATGGGGTTGTCCTCTTCGTCCTGGACCTCAATTGCCTCTTCAGCCGGCGACGCGGGCAGAGGGATCATTGGTCGTAGTCCCCTTGACCGATCGTTCGTACCGTAAGGTTGACCTATAGCGGACATCGCAACACCAGTGGTCGATGGCAAGTATGGAACATAATCCTCTACTTCAAGTTTGACTTTAGTTCCATCTGGTTTCTTGAAGTATGGCCTACTGTAAGCGGGCCAATGGAAGCTCCATCCTGCGTCGATGCAGCGTTGTCCTACCGACACGACGGCTGGGCTATCTTCCAAGACGTACGGATTGATGTCAGCTCCCAATACGGGGACATTGACTCTGGCTTGGTCAGTGGCTTGAAAGACTCCGTTGGCAGTAAGAAGACTGACCGGTTTGGACGATTGTGACACTTCATCCGAATGTAGCATGTGCCTAGACACAAGATCGTGTGCGCTCCCAGTGTCTGCGATCCATGCAATCTCAGTGGCAGGCACTGTTGGACATGACCTCCTCTCAAAACACTTGATACAACCTATATCGGAGTTGCACAGGTACGAACATTCTGCCGGCAAGGACAAAAGTTCGTTCCTAACAGCATTCTGAAGGTGTGATGCTGCAATGGATGCGTCCTCTGTAGCGACACGAACTGCCTCAGCATGCTCCGGTCGACCTGGTGTAAAGGATCTTCGTTTCTTCTTACTTCGGGGTTGAACGGATCTCCAACTGGAAGAAGACTCAACAGTATGATTGAAAACGTTTGGTTGATCGTCAAAACGAACTCTTTGCGTAACAAAATTGTCAATGTTTTCTGTGTTGTCAAAATCGGTGCACATAGTGTTTGATGCGGAAAGGACTGGCATGGCCACGCTTCCCAGCGGGCGAGTGATGAGGACGGAGGATCCCTGAGAGACCACTGCGGCCATGACCACTGCTCGAAGGAGGCATACCGCTGCCGGTGCATTGGAAGAAGAAGACTTCCCACCTTTTCTCCTCTGACTCTCAGAGCCAGTTGAGTTGTCGGAGCCTGATGATCCTCGTGAGCTGCTTCGCTTGCGAGGTTTCTTGTCTTTCTTCTTCTTCTTCTTCTTTTTGTCCTCTTTCTTCGCAGGGACAGTCTTTTCAGGGTGTTGGAATGCGCAGTCTTTTCCTCGGTGGACAATGCCCTGCCTTCCAAAACTTGCAAGTCTCCTTGCGAGATCCTGGTGTCAGCGATCTTGACCGAGATTGGCTGCGATCCTTACCCTTTCCCTTTCCTTTGCTTTTCTCGCGGGCTTTTTCGTGCTTGTAAGGACATGATGATCCGCGCTTGCATTTTCCGGTCTTTTGAAACTCGTAGCAGATGCCTTTCTTCTCCTCCGGAGCTGGCGTGGTTGTGTCTTTGGACCCGAGCGAACGCTTCGTGGCGTCGCGCATCTTTTCCAACCTTTTCCGTTCGAGGTAGGCCCGGGCAGCAGTAATCAGGAAGTCGTATGTTCTTTCTTTGCTTCCATCGGCTGCACGGTCGTACAAGGCCAAGTCATGCTCAAGCGGCTTGAAACGTTTCACTGCCAGGTGGAAATAGGCTTCCAGAACACTATTTTCTGGTTCCTTTTTCATTCCGGCAAGGACGCTATCCCATTTATTTATAAAGCCCTTGAGGTCATCGTTGACCATCTTGACGGACATGAGGTCTTCGAGTCCGTAGATTGCTCCATGCTTAATGCTTGTGGCAAAGTACTCGTGGAACCGAAGTAGCAAATGCCTGCCCTTCACGTTCTTGTCTTCACGAGCTCGCAGCTCCTTAAATGTAGCAATCTGCCGACCGAGGTCCCCCTCAGCGCAATTGGTTAAGCTTGCAAGAAGCTTTGCGTCGAGGGTTGCGAATCCCTCTGAATCATCCAAGGCATCAATGGTTTGGGAATCTTTGTATACTTTCCCAACCCAAGATCTCGCTTCATCCGGCTTCGCTGAAGCTGCAGCAATATTGTCCCTCACCTTGATCTTCCAGTCTCTGTACTTCTCAGGTGTGGGGAACTTGGGAATGAGAATTTTGTCAGCCTCTTTGGCTTTGCTCTCATGATCCTTGTCTTTCGACTTCCTTTGCTGCTTCTTCAGCTCCTTGCGAATGATGCGTGCAAGACGCGATGATTCAGAACTTGAGTCATTTGAGTCATCACTCCCTCCTGATGAACTGGGTGACGAGGGTGATGGGGAAGGAGAGCGTTTCTTTCTGCGCTCCCTAGAGCGGCCCCTCTTTGGGCTCTTCTCTTTCTTCTTATCCTTACCTTTCTTCTTCTTGTCTTTCTTTGATTTGTCACCACCCTCTTCATCAGCATCGGATGGATGAGGCTCATCACCGCCTTCGATCCCGGGCTTCTCCAACAGAGTGCGAAGGCTCGCCGGAGGCAAAGCTGGGGACACCTGAGACCCAAGTGGCTGCATTGATGGTGCAGGCACTCGGTTCCCCGAGGCGTTGTCAAACCTCTCTCTCAACTCCTTGATGATTCGACTCTGTTCTGCTAACTCTGACCGAAGTGCATCCTCTCTTTGCTTGGCAGAGGCGCGTTCGTTCTCAACGACGGCGTGTCGTTCGAGCGAAAGGCGATCTAGGTAAGCCCGTTGTTCATTAAGATGTTGATTTTGGTGGGCTTGGTTCATGTCACTCAATCGTTGATTGGCTAAAGCCTCAATTTGTTCCCTAGACTCCTGGACAGCCACTTTAGCTTGGTTCTCCACTAAGTCTCTAAAATGCCTTGCATCCTCTGCTACTTGTTGCCCATGCTCGGCCAAAATGGCCTGATGCCGCAGTTCCGCGATCTGAGCTACCTGAGCTGACCTATCCTCATTGACGAAGACGGCTTGTTGATGAATCTGTCTTGCATCAACGTTCTGGACATTCATCGCAGGAGAAAACTCAGGTTGAAACGGCGACGGGGCTTGAACATTAGGCAACAGGTCCCCCTGTGCACTGAACGTCGGTGGCCCAATTGGCACACGCAACTCCAGCGGAACAACAGGGAGCTCAAGAGCAGGTGAACTGGACATCGCAGGCGAAGTAGGAACATAGCCTGAGCGTGAGCGATCACCACGGGAACTATCATCATCAGCCATGGCCTCTAGATAGTGCACTACCTATGGTGGGGTGAGACCACAGCTAGTAGAAAGCACGTACCGCACTTATGGCGATACGGCTGATAACCTGTAGTTACAGGTAAACGACCGAGAACTACCAACAAGTCGCACCTGGTTTTCCTTGAGCCAAACGGTAGGTAAGTGAGACATGCATTCGACATCCTAGCGTGAAACAACAGTAAATAAGCATTGTATAAACACGTAAAGACACATCTACTATATGTCCCAACCTAGCTTTTGAAGCAAGTGGTAAGGAACAACTACGCTGAACATGCTACTCTGATTTGTACATCAACTAGGACTTGAATGGACTTGACCCTTGGTGGCAAGAGAACAAATTATTCCTTTCAACTTCCATCCTGACTGGGGATTTGTGGCAAGAAAATGCAACCAGGTTCATATTGCAGGTACTGGCATGGGAGCCGCTTCTGAGCATCCTTCCTCATTCACCTTTCGCAGGAAAGTGGCCTCAAAAGGATAATAAATCTTTTGAAACTCCAACAGGAACAGCTCCAAGACAAAGGAGACAATCATTCCATCCAATGTAAAATGGTTGGATGAAGAACCACTGTATAGTACCATCATCACACAGGGAAGATCGTGAGGAATCATCGGGGAGGCAAGATCAACAAGGAGTTCACGCATGAAGACATGCTTCTTGAAGTGCTTTCAAAACTCTTGAAGGACCGGTAACTGTGGGTTTACCTGAGTGCTTCAGACAAACGTTTGACCCCCATGGCCCGGTGGAGCAAGCGCAAACAAACGGCATCGCACCAGGATCAATCGGACCAGGTGGCTGTCGCCGTATTGACAAGCCGACTTGCAGCCCTCAAAGTCATTCGTCACCTCAAAGTCTTCGACCGCGAAAACGAATTCTCGGACAAGAAAGGGCTGGTGCAGATCGATTCTAGTGCTCAGACTCAGACCCTTGGTGTTCACTCATTCCGTTGGCCCGTTGGAATGGATTTGCAACACAACTGTCCTTTCCTTTAAAGCAAAGTTAAAACCAATTCAAAACAACGTATTAATAAAAAGCATCATAACCATCGGCTAGAACGGGCAGGCTCTCCGAAAACAATTCAACAAATGATCATTCGCTCAGCCTACCCAGCTTCCAACAGCCTCTACGTACACCAACGAACAACAAGAAGTCGATCGTCCGTAATTACACCAATGTGCATGGTGTCCACTGGTGGACCTTCACCTTGCACTCTTCGTCGAGGCACATTGAGGGCCCCGTACTTGCAGCGCTCGAAGGGCGTGGCGTCTTCATAGGCGTCCCCAAAGAGGTCCCGCTCCCAGCGGATGCGAATCCCGTTGTCTCAGTGGGCGGAGGAGTGGGCGGAGCGAACGGGCCACACGGGCCACCGGGTCCGGGGTCGCCTGACCGGACAGGGTCAGGATGAACTGCACCGTGCATGCGGGGCCAATTGAACATCCCCTGTTTGGGGGCTGGAGACAAAGCCACATTTGAGAGGAAAACGGCAAGGGTAAGCAGCATCAAGCAGTGTCGATATAAGTCCAACGACCGCAGAAGCCGTTAGTTGGTGCGTCTTGTGGCACCATGTTGCACAACTGGCTTCTCCAACATAGCTGCAGTTGAACACGCAGCCACGCAAAAGGCAGCTTGGCCAAACAAGTAGATGCGCCACTGCGCCACCTTTTCTTCACTCCATGCTAGACAAAAGTGTTAGCATGTCAGGATGTGCAAAAAACTATCGACACCTATCCCAAGATCTCAACAAAAGAAGCAGAATCAAGGAATAACTAACGTCCAGTTCCAGGCGGCCATCATCCAGCGCTCCGCAGGAGGTCTTCGTCTCAAATTGGCTCCTACAGTACAGCGCAAAACACACTTGAAGAGAACGCACAGAAGGTTCGAGAAGTTCTTAGAAAGAACATGAAATACATGATCACTTGAGTCATTGATCAATACTTGCCCAAAAATTTGGAGAGAAACTGATAGACCATTTAGAGTAGAGAAGCATCTTTTTTGTTGAGGGTACCGTCAACAACACCTCACCAACAAGATTGCAAATTCCACAAGGTCCCTTGACCATCAACCAGTACATGTTGTCAAGGAAATGTCTCACAAAATTCACCAGACAGCTTGTCACACGATGTGGAGACCACCCAAACTAGGGAACATTATACAGTAGGACTCTTGGAAGTATTTGTTCCGAAGCCATTTCTTTGGGGAGAACCATCTTCGGCTTATCTCAAAACATCTCAAAACCAGGGTTGGCTCCATCAACCCTGAACCAGCGGCTCCTGTAGTACTCATCGCTCTCAAGAAAGCGACCCACTGTATCCTCGGAAGAGTGTTGAAAGGATACGACCTGCGAGTAGTAAACCGCTGGAGCTTGCACGTATCGAGTATCCAAGCTTAAGGGGAGTCAATCAGTGAACAATGGAGTAAATTTAGGATATATACAATGCTTGAGGTTGGGAATCCCCGCAGGATGTCTGCAAAAACAACGACATCACTTATTACATGTCAAGGTGCTACAATAACAACATGATACGAAATCATCGGCTGAGGTCTCCCAAAACTTACCAAACATGCCTGCTCAGTCATGGGTTGCCTTACTTACCTCCACGGAAGCCCTGAAACTAAGTTTCAAGAATCTAGTAGACACTACTATGCACAAGCAAGTTCAACAATTTAAATATATCAAATTATTATTTATTATACAAAAATATAATATATATAATAAATCTGCATAAACCAGCCACAAGCATCAAAAACGAACACCAAGTGACCGTGCATCAAGTCTGGTGGATCTCTGTATCTTTCAGTGGGGGCCTTTGACATCGCAACCCTCCAAGTAACAAGAAGCTACTAGGAGCAAGGACGCTACTAGTAACTCCTGGCCTTACTAGTAGTAGCATTCATATGCATTCTTGCTACTAGTAACAAGAAGCTTTTCATCTTTTTCTTCATCCCTTCGATTTCCACTCTTGCACTGCACTCGGTCGCCAGCACTCACCTCTGGAGTCACTTCACCTTTCGCTCCGGTCGCCGGAACCCGGGATCCTCCAACGACTGGACCGTTGGACCCGGGCGGCCAGGTGCACGTGGATGATCACCGGAGCCAAGTCTTGGACCCAGCTCAACACCGCCTGGGACGGCACAGTTCGCCCTGCCTATGACGTTCAAGAGCGATGGACCCACCATGACGTTCAAGATCCAAACGGTGCAACAGCGGGGCGGGGAGGTCCGAACTTGGGAAGTTACAGCCTCAATGTAGACTTGCCTGGCAAAATGTGTAGCTGGGTGGGAGGAAGCGGATCTAATATGAGCAAAACCTTTAGCTTGAAAAAAGCTGGAACCAGGGATGGGTGACGAAATGGATTCACATGATCAATGATCTGGCAAACTATAATCCGATACATTAGCGCCTACAAACAAGAATTCATCGGTTAGGTACAGGAGACCAGGTTATCCCACACACTCCCTAGATGCACGTACTAATAACTAGTACCTGCTTCGAAAACTCTTAGGCTCACTCCCAAACACCACATCGAACCGATCTTTACAAAACCAATATAAAACCAAGCCGTTCACGCGAATTGTGAGTCTCTGCAAATTGAAACCTCTGCAGACCATTCATAACCCAAGGTTACCCCCAGCCAAGGCATGCCTGCAGCTCCTTGTCTTCATAGCCCAACCTAAGACTCTGCGAAACGACAAACGTGTGGGTGAGTCTTAGACATGATCGATGTCGGTGAGATGCTTGAGTCTTAGCCTTTACAAACTCAAGGTTCCCTCAAAACCGTCGATTGATAAGTGGCACAGTGATCACCCGGCAGCTAAACGGACAGTTTCTTCATGTTTCTTCACATGGAGAACAGGACCAACATATCTAGTTTGCTGGGTTTTGTGTTTAAGCAACTGCTTGAAACCAATGGCAACGTAGGACAACGGGAGGGCTCCTCACGTTCAGCTGGTGAGTGCGCTATTCCAGCTTGAGCACAACATCCTGGTTGTTTTGGACTCCTTTTGCTTCCTTGCCCGGTGCCCCTTTCAACAACCCTTAAAATTGCCATTAGGTTGACCCCCCCCAAAATGGAACACAAACGAGTCTTCAAAGGATCTGAGTTCAACCATTGCTGCCATTGCCACCATCAAAATGGCCTGCATTCCAAGAGGCGCCTGGAATCGTTCTAAGACGTTGTCATAGGCAGCCTGCCAAAAGTCAGCATAGTTTCTTGGTTTTCGATGTTTGATTGTTCATTGGATCTACAAAATTAATACGGCTTGACAATTGTCCAGACTAGAAACACATGCGTGAACCCTCATGGGTGAGGGATGCCTTCCTGTTTGGCCAACTGATACCCCTTGAGGGACAAGCGCAAAAAGGAACCCAAGCCCTAAGCTTCTTCAAAGCACTGATAAAAGGTTGAAGCGGGACAAACTTCCACAGCGGCCCATGGTGCTCTAAACTAGTGGCTTTGGAGAATATGTTGTGGCTGTGGGCCAAGATGGTCTATACCCTGTGACCCCAAGCAACTCTGCGTGAAAGTTCCCCGAATGTTGAATTGATTCTACAAACCAGTGAAGCGATTGACTCCAACTTGACAAACATGGAAGCCGGAGGCCTTTTTGGTTCCAAGACCTATATGGGGTGGTGGAGGCTCTTCTTCCAAATCCTGGTCGATCCCCATGTCCAGCCGTGGCCTGGTGGCTTGCCGTGGCCTGTGCGCGGACCTGTGCCAACGCACGCCGTTGGCACTGCGTCAAGCGGCAGACCTGCCGAATTTTTAGGGCCGTTGGCTCGGTTTGGTACTTGTATCACGTATCAAAGAATAGAACCAATATAAAGCATGATATGTCCAAATCTTAGGTGCCTCTTTACATCACAAGTGCATGTCATGCTGTCTGACAAACAAAGGTCATTGATGGTCATTGGCTGTTGACCTTGTCATCTTAGCTAAGAGCGTATGCATAAATGACCTTCCAAACAAGCGGATCTAAGTGGCACTTTCTTCCGGAATCCATTTCGGGCCCTTCGGCCCAACAAGGCCCCAAGGCTCAGGAGCCTCCTGCATCTCAGAAGCTGGAAAGACCGCATCCCAAAATGGCTGATCTTCCTCATGGATTCCCACCTGGCGAACTGCGTTCCCACCGGAACGGCTTGGCGACGTCGATGACGAACGACTCCCGGTCGTTTTTGTCAAGCCGTCGAACATTGTCGACCCATCAAGCCTGCAGCATGTCATGAAACCGCAAATATACCTCAAGCCATCCTCAACGGTTCAAGTCTACATTTACGTGATATGATATCGTAATATTATGTTTATATTGTTTGGTGGTTTAGCCTAAGCTGCTGAGTCAGCAGTGCTCAAGTACTGCAATCCACCACCATTCAGATGACCGGCCAAGCGTTGGACCATGGAAAGTTTGGAGTGCTTGCTTTGGCGAACATGGACCCTGAAAGGACCCTGAAAACCACTGGGTTGTACAGCAATTTGGTCTTAATCCATTCTCAAGGTCCATTTTGGGGGCAACTTTAAACATATGGCGCGAATGGTGAATGGTGCGTCTGTTTTTGATCAGCTGATATTGCTACCACTATTAGGAGGTCCGACGGTCCCGGAGGACCAGCGAGGGGTCGAACAATTCTCTTCCGTGCGTCTTCCAAAGATCTGTATATATCTTTCAGATTCGGGGTCCACATACTCGTCAAATCATATCAGATCTCTGCTTTCGCTCTTCCTTCCTCCCCCACTCCTCAGCTCCCTCAGCTCCAGCGGGGCACCTCGCGGAGGGCCTCGGCCACCTGGGCATCCTCCTCGCTGCTGATGATCCAATGTGAAGGGACGCAGGTGAGCTTCGCGGGCATCCTGGAGAGTCTGGTGGGATGGGTTTCTGGCTTTTTGGGAGGGCCACAGAGCGGCACATATGTGGCATTTCTAGTGGTGCGTTTTTGTCGAGTTTGGTGTTTGTTCCCCAGATAGTTGCAAGATGTTGCAAGCTATAGCGCTTCCTACTTCTCAATGGTGTGGCTCTGGATCGGCGATTTCGTTTTGCGGGTGCCGCAGCCGTGCTGGTGCTTGTGCAGGCACTGGCTCTGGATCGGTGTTATCGCTTTGCAGGCGCTGCTGCCGTGCTGGTATGGCCAGAATGACATCATGTAATGCCAGGGATGACATCATGTCATGCCAGGGCTGACATCATGTCATGCCAGGGATGACATCATGTAATGCCAGGGATGACATCATGTCATGCCAAGG